TTTTTTTTTTTTTTTTTTTTTTTTTTTTTTTTTTTTTTTTTTTTTTTTTACCCTTCCACGATACGTAGTCAATATCATGGTAATTAATTGAACTGATTGATCAATCTCGTCGCGTTTTATACGATGTATACTGTGTGCCAATTATGGCGCGAACTATAATTTAGCCATTATCGTTTCTACTCGCTGTGCTCGTGAATGCGCCATAAATGCACACGACTGTCAAGAACAAGTGTTCATTTTGTTGCGTTACTTTCATAGATGATTATATTTTTATTAAATGTAATATAATATAATTTTACCTTGCAACGTTTCGATATGATAATCATTCACACGTCGTGCTTTTACCATGACTACGGAGCAATATATGCCTGGAAAACAGAAGAAGGAAACGTTCTTTTGTGAAATGACGATCTCCAAGTGTTCCATTCTCACGACTTACCCAAGGATTGACGGTGAACAAGCACTTCATAAACATGAATGATTTCTCGCATTTGTCCTTTGAATCTAGAAATGATTTGTACGAAACGCCTGATTGCGGAGAGCAACGAAACAACGCGAGAATTTAATCGACAGGATATATACTTACCGATGTGCTTACAACTGTCGATCATTTCGTTGCCCATCTCCTTGTAAACGTCGGGGATCACTTTCTTCAGTATGTTGTATTTTATTTTACCATCCTTGTCCATCTACATCGCGTGCAAAACGACAATATTCTTTAATATGTGTGAGATGCGAATAAACGCCATCGATCGGAATATACTTACTTACCATGTGGAATTTTTCAAACACGCATTTGAAGTAACATTTCAGGCTCTCGTCTTCGGGGAACTTGCCGAACTCTGTATCCTCGATCATCTCTGTAAAAGGAAAGACTCGTTGAGAACAAGAGCGAAACGAGGAAATCGACGAAAAGAGTGGACTTACCAAGGCTCGCATTAGTCTCGTCCATACACTTTTTCCTAAATTTCGTCAGCATTGCCCTAATTTCGTCGATGTCCATCTTGTTTGTATCAGAATATCATCGATTAATAATAAATTAATCGCGAGAGGATCGGCTTATATATTCGAATCGGCTTACCCCTGCGTGAACGAGGACGAGTCGCAGCGATAGAGAAGAAATCAAGATCACGAAAATTCCCGCCGATCTCATCGTGCCGGCGAAAATACCAGTCGACTATGTATCCGAGTGCCACCGATTGCTTCGTATTTATAGGAAGGCGTCCGTTTTACACCTGAATCGGCAACCGCTAATCAAACCAATTTCCAAAAACGCCTGTGCAATTCGCAGTTAAACGCAGGGACCGCCCTCTTCCTCGATCGGACGATTTATCTAATGGCAACTTTTAAGGCCTAATTAAGGAGATGTATTCAGCCGCCAACGAAAACACAAAGTCGACGTAAATACAGCCCCGTGAATGTAAATTGCGACAGAGGGCGGCAATTATCGAACTCGAAGCCGGACAACAAAGTACAGAGTTATACAAGATTAACGTTCAATTAACGTTCGGATCTTTGCACGATCGAACATATCCTCTAATTACAACAGACTTCCTCTTGCTCGACGATTATATCTGGCGATTAAACTAATTTCCGATATGAGACAGAGAAACGGTGAGGACGATGTTGAAGCACAGTGTCGGACAGTAAAGTTTGTTCGATCCGAAATAGGAAATTGGATCAACACGTACATGTATCGTCTATATATATATATTCGAACGAAGCGTACTTCGTTGGCAAGCCTCGTTCCTTCCATTTCTATCGCGCGCATTTAATCGCGACCTCAATTGGATCGTCGGAAGTGACGATCAACTGGATCGTTTGAAGGATCGTACAAGTTTCATGCCTTTGGAGAGAAATGTAACAGAACACAAGAGGATACGTACATGTGTATATGTTATATGTTATATCGAGAATGGTCGATGCCTAGGAAACGGTAAGACAAAAAGTAGACGTGACAGGCAAGA